AGCAAATATATTTTTATTTAAATACAAAAGCTACAGCTGGTGAAAAAAAAAATTTATATCTATTTATAAATTTATGTTGACATTAACAAACTACTGAACTTAACAGTACTAAACTTAACAATACTTCCAGGGCGCTGTAATATTATATGTATAATTTTTTTTATTTTTTTTTTTAAATTTTTTTTTTCAAGTTTTTCGAAAAAAATTAGTGAGAAAAATCCAAAAAAAATCAAAAAACCTCGATATCTCAAAAACTAGAAGGATTTGGGAGGTAATTTTTTTACACAAAAAAGCTGATATATAGCTGGTAGTCCTGTAGCATGCAACCAACGGGTATGGGTTTTAATTTTTTTTTTTTTATAAGCCAAATATATGTTTCACTAATTCATGGTTTTGTACCAGGTATATTTTCAAATAATGGTAAATTGCCGAAATTTCTGAAAAAGAACTTTTTTTGACGTGTGCAGGTATCAAATTCAGAACCCGCAGCTTATTAAAAAGTTTACAAGCGCGATATCGAATCGAGAAGCGCTCAATTTTGCGTTTACAAAATGGTTCGAACAGAAGGCTGCTATCAGAATTTCTAGTAGCTCTTTTTGCATTTTGAAAAACAAATAAATCATTCAGAAAGCTATCCTTATGAACACCAATAACTGATTTAAGAACAAATTTTAATAGCTCATAGAGATGATACTCATAAACGGTTAACAAACTATATTTTTCAAAAATATCATTACTACGATCTCGACGTTTTCTGAAAAAAATGAATTTGAGGATTTTTTTTTTGTAAAACATTAAGTTGTTCCAGCTGCGAATAGCTGCAACATCCATAAATTAAAATGCCATACTGGAGAATGGGAACGACATTGCTACTGTAGTATTCGATCATTGGAGACCTCGGCACGTAGTGCCGTAGCTTTGAAACTATACCGCATTGTTTACTAAGTTTCTTTTTGACGAAATCGATATGACTTTTAAAAGAAAATTTGGAGTCTATGTAAATGCCTAAATATTTACAAACAGGTTTCGTATTTACCGAGCAAGAGTTTGACTGAAATAAATGATTGGAAGCACTTAACTTTACATTCATTTGAACTGTTTTGGATAGGTTAATCACCAATTTATTTGCATGTAGCCAGTTATTTAAAGACGTCATGTCTTTTTGAACGTCAATTATTTGACAACCTATTGATGTTAGATTCGTATCGTCTGCGAATAGCAAAACTTCCGATGTTTCGCATGCTTTAGGGAGGTCATTTATATATAATAGAAAAAGCAAGGGACCTAAAATTGAGCCTAAAACACCACATTCTATTTTACTCCAGCTAGATGAAACACCATTTACTACAACTCGCTGTATGCGATTACTGAGATATGAGCTCAACCATTTTAAACAGTTACCCCTAAACCCATACATATCCAATTTGTATAGCAAGATATTATGATCAATAGTGTCAAAAGCTTTCTTCAAGTCAAGGAAAAAACAAAATTTCATTCGATGAAGGATACATTCTAATTCTTTCGGTAAGTTCAGCAAGTGCATCAATTGTGCTATGCTTATAACGAAAACCGAATTGTTTTGCATAAAAGAGAGAAAAATTCTCTAAATAAGAATAAATACGGTTATACATAATGCGCTCATAGATTTTACTCCAAACAATTAAAAGTGAATTTTTACTCCAAACAATTAATAACTACTATTGTTATCATAATCATTATTCTGATAGAACCAATTCGAATGTTACGTTTCACAGAAGGGAAGCAGAGCTTCGCAAAACTTGGGATTCGTCAAACACATTCGTCGACAAAAGTCTTGCAAGCTAGCGAAAAAAAAGAGACGGAGGAACCAAATCGAAAAAATATATGTATGATTTTAAAAAAGGTCGGTAAAAACTGCTTAAACAAATGTATGTCTTGATAGAATTGCGAGAAAGGAGACAAAAATCATCAAGCGGGAACTAGACATCTTTTAGGCCGAAAAAGTGTGCTAAGTCGATAATAAGTTTTCAAGACTTCAAGTTGTTGCGTCCGCCAAAGCTCAAAAATGCAAGTTTTTTTATTGCCATTTAAACGACAGTTTGTGATGTACAAACGCCAAAATCAATAAATTGAGAAAAAATTGAAATTGTATAAATTTTTGGCGCTAACTTACCTGCATATTTACTCAAGTGCAGCGTAGTGTTGTGTTACGAGTTCACTTCGTTCATAACAAATCGCAAATGAAAGTGCTAATGTAGTGACTTTTTTGTGCCAATAGCAATGTATCTTGTTTAATTTCGCTGCAATGGCATTATATCTTTGTATCTGGTTTATTGGTGGCTTGTGTTTCAATATCGCCAAGCAGCCCCCATGGAGCAGAATCTAGAATGTTCGAATCTTAATCTCAAGTTGGGGCTTCGACTCGGGCCAATAGCAGAATCATTTTTTTCTGCGATTTTTTTTTCGCGCTTTCGGACCCCCTTTCGATCTACTTTTTATGTGAAGGTGCTAAATCTACTGACCGCTCTGAGTCAGCTGGAGTCTTTCAAGGATCTTGTTTAGGCCCCGTACTCTTACTCTGCAGCGCATCTGATGGAAACGACGGTGCAACGCGCGCTTACACTTTTGCGGACGACCACAGTATCGGAAATTCCACCGAATCCACAGTATGCAGTAGTGCTGACGCAGCAACTAAGTGGTTCGAAGACAATCGCATTACGATGAAACCAACTAAGCGGGTGCTTACCACTTTCTGAATCACTGCTAACAACCCAGAAACTACCACCCTCCTGGGACTCCAACTCGACAGAAGATTGACTATGAAGTGTCATTTTGACGAAGTTGTAAACCGAGCTTCCCTGAAGACCTCTCAGCTCCTCCGCCTACAGCCGTACCTACCACGTCACAGGATAGAGAACGCGTACAAGACATGTTTGGCCTATTTTTGAGTACAGTATTACAGGGTACATCCACGCGACCGACACAGCTAAACAGACCAGACGATTGCCAGAAACGCTTCTGCAAACTGACAGGCTGTGACCTACCACCTCTTTCCTGGTGGCTTCATGTCGGTATGATATGCTTACTTGATCGAATCATTGTCTTAGCCAGAGGTCCAGCAGATATTCATCGCCTTTTAAACCCACCGTCTGATGTCCCGACATATTCAACTAGAGCAGTATCAAAACGGCATCAGTTCACTTTAGAGACCTGAACAACTGTACAAGAAGGCGCTGTCTACAGAAGAAGGTCGAGAGTACTGGAGGCAGGGATTGATTTCCCTCAGACACTTTCAGCGTAGCTTCTGGAGTTAATAAACTGTCCTCCTTCAAACTGAACAATGCTAAACTGTATAAACACCTGTGGATTAAAAACAATTTTTTTGACCCTTTTAGAGCTCCTTTTTACCGTTTTATCGCTTAGGTTCACATCTTAAACTTTTTTGTCTCTACGAACTGTTTCTATCGATGCGACCTTAACGTGGGATAGCAAATTTCCAAGGAAATTATTCCTCAACTCCTTAGTTTTTCCTATATTCTCAACACATTTTTCTGAGTTTTTCCTTTCAGTGATTTTGAAAACTTAACTTTGAATACACCTCAGATGTATAAAATGCTCACCCCTAATGCTGCCAGGGTTTCTCAGGAGATACAAATCTGGCCCCCAGGTGATGCAAATCCGATATACGACCTTTTTTGTTCTTACCGTTGCGTTTAGTTTCATTGTTTTTCATTTGTATTATATATAAGCAATTTTCAAACACACAAGCTGGCTGTATGAAGCAGTGGAGGTGCAAATTACACGCTAGTATGCTTTGAGGGGGTATTATCACGTTTGCGATTAGCAAGCGTTATCAAATCGGAATGTAACCCTTTTTCGGGCTAACAAGTTTTTTTTAACAGAATCACGAATCATTTGATCGCTTGTTGTAATAATTTTCTCGGCATCAACGGCACACTTGGCCAAAAACTAACGCCTACGCATGAGCGGCAAAGGTTTTAGCTTACTCAAGTTTTGTCGGTTCAGTTGCTGCTCGAAACAAGTCTTTGATTTGATTAATTATTTCACGCCGGCGATTATGTGGCTGGCCGTGTTTTCCTCAAATTGAACATCGTTCAAGACAACATTATGAAATTCTCGTAGTTGTGGTTTTTTCGATATTTTTTCTTCTTTTTTCGACTAAGTGACTTTTGTTTCATTTTTTGTTTTTCAGTTTGCAATGACATGTTTGTGGTATCGCAAGTAGTGCGATACTCCGCTTCGCCTCTGTGTACTCAACAGTTCCGCTGTTATGTTCGATTTTGAAAAAACTTAAACGATCTGTCGATTGTACATATTTTTTGCTACCACGAGTTTTGTAGTTGGAACGTTCTGCTACTTGCAAAGCGACCGGCTGCTCTTTATTATTGTATATTTTCGTATTGTATACCTTTTGAGCGATGAAACATTTCGAATTTCATAGGACGTGAAACTTTTTCGATTAAAAGGTAGAATAAATTTTATCGATATTTGCTGTATACCCGATTTTAAAGAACTTAAAATCTAACGTTGACCTGCAGGGGCGAATCTAGGATTTTCTTGAGGGGGAGGCGGATTTTCAAAAAATTTTGACGACCTTTTTTTAGGGCGGCCAATTTGTTTTTCCGAGCAGTAAAAAGACGCTGTTTTGGCCTAAATTTCAGAGCCGCAGGCAAATTTTGAAAAAACAGGTCAAAAAGCCGTTTTTGGGCCTTTTTGGAAAATTTTGACAAAAAAATTGCGCTCCCCCTCAAAGTTGGTATATATTGGCGCCTTTAGAAAAATTTTAGGGTCGGTCGGCCAAAAATGGATTTGGACCCTTTGTGTCGGCAGGGGGTCGAATCCCTGAGGAGAGGGGGCGGACGCCCCCCCCCCCCCCCCCCCTTAATCCGCCCCTGTTGACCTGATCATTATGATTATTGTTGGTCATAGTTTTCGCCCTGATAGACAAAATTAGCTAGTAAAAGTGGACTCCAGCCTTCACATAAAGCTAATTTATTTTCAGATCAGTGATTGAATAAGTGACGCGTGGTGAGAAGAAGAGCAGATCTTTACCACAATGACATCAGTTGCACGACAACCAGCGATAAATACCAAACGTAAAAAACACTCTAAATTTTTAAGCCGTTTCCAATAGATAAAAGTACAAGAACGGAATGCTTCCATAAATTATAGTTGGATGTTAGAAAAGGACAAAACAGATTCACAAAACTTTTACAAGCAGAAATAATGCCATAATTGTTGTTCTGGTTTCCGAATAACACACATGTACTTCTCCAGTGTCTAAATTACTATAGGGGATGTTGTACGGTGCTAATTTGTATTGTTTTCGCAGAATCGAATTCATACCAATTGTAAGTTTGCTTGAAGCTTTGTCGTGATTGTTAGCTGAGTAGAAATTGATCTCATGCATTTCTCATCTCGTTCTCAACTATTTTTTATGCATGCTGCTTTTTCCTTAAGCAACGCTGATAAAGAACCTAATATTCCATACGAGAATATGTTTTGTCCATTCTACTCAGCTAATTCTCGTATGGAATATTAGGTTCTATATCAGTGACCTGTAGGGTTGCTCCAGATGGTCTGTTCGGTGTAAATTTTAAGAAAAGCATATAATTGCTCATGCACTTGTAGTCATTACTTCGCCCATTGAAATTTTCTCAGTGAAATCGTGATGATAATTAGACAAGTCTGGCAGATGTTAGTTTTTTGAGAAAGCATTGTTATATCTGGCCGTTGGATTCAGTTCAGGCACTCCATGCAAAAAGCAAGCAATTTCTTTTTCAATTGAAGCTTGAGTTAATAATTTTCAGCTGGACATCCTCTCTCAGGCACTCTAGGGCCGCCCCAGGGTTTGGGAACCGGCGGATTCTCGGCCGAGTTTGGCTCGGAAAATGGGGGTGGCTTTAGAAGTATGAGTCGTGTGTCGACCCTTGATGACCAGATGAAGGATAATCTGGCAAAACTCCAACTGAAGCTTCTGCAACAGGCAAGCATTAAAAACAGTGCTGCACAAAGTTAACAAACTATCAATGAAAAAATTACCCTATATTACAATTTACCCAATTCCATTCTACACTATGACTCCATTCCATATCTTACGAATAATAGAGCCGGTTATCGCCGCGAAACGCACCCACCGGGTACTTTAAAGGAGAATGTAACTTGAGGGTAGAATGGCTCAGGATAGATTGGAAAATATGGCAGAATGGCATTGGGTAAATTTTTTTCGGACGATACGAAACACTGCAAATTTAGTTTTTGAAGGAGTTTGTTTGATTTCAGAAGCTGCAGACTCGTCAGAAGCCTAGAACAGTACCAACAAGAACAGGTAAACACATCTTTTTGAGAAAGACGGTAACAATCAGTTTTTCTGGCTTGAAATGAACCATTTTTCTGCAAATTGTATCTTTTTAGTGCCAACAAGTGCAGATATGCGCCTGAGAACTGCCATGAAAGATAGAGAAAAACTGCTTGCGGAGCTACGGGTGAGAACACAAATTGTTTGTCTTTAGAAAAATTCATTAATTTAATTAATCACGAGGAGTTATTGGAACTGCATCCACTACAGTTTTATGCACAGCACATGGTGAAAAAATATACTTTTGTGTTCTGTTACCTTTCTCAGATGGAAAAGTTGAAGGAGGAATCTATGGCAGCCGATAATGGACTGCAGAGGCCATACCTGTCCACAGACGAATACCCGCCGTACACAGGCATTCCAGGCACATACCCGGCCATGCCTTATTCCTCGGTGGGTGCCAGCAGACACCTGGACGGACTGGAACACGGACTGTCGTTGGACAAGAGATACAATTTTGGCGACTTAGCTCTACAGGTGGGACAGAGATTTGATTCTTCTTAGTTTAATAAGTTATTATTTTGGAAATATAATTTTTTGTTTCACTTTTTTCCTTATTGTTTCGAATTTTTTTTCTGATTTTTTTTCCGTTTAGTAATTTTTCTACAAAAATTGTTTTTCAATTTGCTTATTTTGCTATGACAGTCGAACATCACATCCCCAGTTTTTCGCCGAAAAAACGACAATAATTTGAAAAACTTTGTATTTTTAAGACTATGGTCGGAACATCCTTCTTTATATCAGATTTTGTTTTGATAAAGATAAAAACCAAATTGGAATTATAAAAAATACCCTTGCTTTCTTTGAATATCTAGTTGTTTGCCATTATAATTAAACATGTTTTTTAAAATTCATTGCCACCTTGAAATTTTACTTGGGTCACTCGATTATGTACTGTACTGACAGGTCTACTACCAATATCTACGTTTTTTTCGCGACCCTTCGCTTGCACTAGCTACTTGGTTTTCTTCATTTCAGAGCTCCCTTTTGCCCGTAGACAGGTTTCAAGCCAGATCCCGCTCAGTCGCCCATCCCTTCAGAACTACGCCCAGTTTCCCGCCTCCGCCACCCTCCTTCGCTCCTTATCACATGTACGGAGGAGGCAGCGGCTACCAAATGCCACAACAGAGCAAAACTTCTGGTATGTGAAGCGACTATTTCCAAGTTCAAAAGACGAGAGGTCGTCCTTTACGAATTTATTTTATTACGTAAAGGCAACGCAATTCTTCGAATTTATTGTCATTCTACTAATCGATTTCTGAATTTCCAGAAAAAAAACAGTCGATAACTTCCTAAAAAATCACACAAATAGAGTTTGATTAATTTGCCGAATGTGTCATATATTTGCCCAGGAGCGGATCTAGCGTTTTCTCGAAGAGGGGGGGGGGGGGGAGCGGATTTTTAAAAAAAATCTTATTTTTTAGGTCGACCAAATTTATTTTCCGAGCTCTCCCGAATATCTAAAAAGACACTTTTTTGGCCAGTTTTTTATTTCGCTGTCAAAATTCGAAAAACAGGCCAAAAAAGGCGTTTTTTTTTCAGCGCGCGAGCCCTCGAAATTAGTATATATTGGCGCCTTTAAAAAAACTTTTGGGACCCTTTGGTTTGGCAAGGGGTCGAATCCCTGAAAGGGGAGGCAATTCGTTTGCTGAATTATTCCATTTGATCGGGCTAAAAAGCGAAAATCGTAGATCCATCCTCAGTAACCCCGCAGCAAGTATTTCGTCCCCCTGACCACTCAAAAGGTCCCCTTTGATGTTATTTAGGAGAGCATGGAAGCCAATATATACCGCAATTTTTTAGTCAAAACTTTCCAAAAAGTGCTCAAACCAGTAATTTTTGCCCGTTTTTTTAAAATATGTATGGTTTAGTATGGTTTAGTACGGAAAATTAGTATGGTTTACTTAGATTTAAAAAAGTCAACCCAATTTTTATATTTTTGATAGTCCCCATTCGAGAAAATCCTAGATCCGCCGTGTCCGTCCCTGCTGCGAATGTTAATGCAGTGCCTAGAATGTTCTAGATGTTAATGCAGTGCCTTGATATTGATTTTGTGCTTCAGTTTCGTAATAAATCGAGTTTCATTGTAGAGATGATGGAGATGATGATGATGCAGAATGCACAGATGAACCAGGCCATCATGCAGCAGATGATGATGAGCAGCATGGCCAGCAAAACAAACAACAGGGCAAGTATCACTCTTTCATACTATCAATCCAGTAATATCAGCGAAGTATATAATCCAAATTATAAATAGTTCTCAACTAGGTTGAAACTCTTAGTTTCGAACTTTGTGTTAGTTCATTCTACATGCATATTGTGCATTACATGTAGGCACGAATGTTCGTATCTATAAAACATGATTTTGGTATTTCATTTAGCTTCTCTTGTATTGGGGCATTCTACGCTGCTAGGCCAAATTAACCCGCAGTTAAATTCATTTACTTAAATTATACGATTAGAAGTAGTATGGTATGAAAGGGAAAAGAGTAGTTTATGATAGGCTACGCTAGAATGGCATAGAACCGAAAATTGGGCTGGCTAAAGTTACTCACATCGATATTTGTCTTCTCTATTTCAGAACCAAAACAGCCAGAGCTCTCCAGAAGTGCGGTTCCTGCCTGCACCGGGAGCAGCAGGGGGTATGGTGCCACCTGGTATGGGCTTCCCAGGTCCCAACAGCAATTTTAAGCTGCCAGCTCTATTCTCGTGAGTTAATCATTGTTTCGTCTTTCTCAGTTTTGTAGTTTTTTTAAAATGGATTCAATTCTGTAACGATTAGTTTCTGCGAAGTTTTAGAAAATACTAACTGCTTATGCAAATGAAAGATAGCGCTTAGTATTTAGTACAAATTTTCGTAGCTACGGTGGAGTTTTTGACCCGGTCATATCGGTCAGCTGTTTCTTTAATGATCGCTCCCTGCATAAGGTATTACCTATAGGTCACATATTTATGTTAGTCGGATCAACTGAAGAGAACCCATTTAGTTCATAATTTGCAATTTAACGACAAAATATCAGCGACTTGCATGTGATATAAAAAAATTTGTCATTTCAGAGGACAAATGCCAAACTCAAGTACATTCAGTCACCCCGCACAAGGGCCTGGAGATTTCCCGACAGAAGCAGCCCCATTCACAGTTGAACCCTAAACGTGCCGTTTATCTTAATCGTGTCGTAAAATGAATAACGTTCGAAAATTGAATTGTAAAAAATCTTACTATTGAAATTTGTAGATACATTTTTACACAAGCAATGCTTGTGTTATAGTATGAACTACCTTTTTTCCAACCTAAGTCGCAAATATTGTTGCGATAAAATGTTTTCATATTGGAAGTGTTCATTTTGATCAATAAGCAGCTATTAAGTACAGCCAATGCTAAGGATATTCACACAGACTATTATTGTTCCGACTTTTGTTACGAAAGAAACGGAAAATTTGTGCTCGGGTTTTATTTTCAGACAAATTTCGACTTTTTAACTAGCCATTTTTGACGGAACTTTTTAATATCATTCAAAAAGTATTGTTGTCCTGAGCTTAAATTTGGAAAGATATTTCAACTGTGATCATATTTTGTAAAGTAATGGGGGTTTAAATTTTGCCATTTTGGCTAATTTGGTTAACGCGCGACATATTTGGCGCTATTAACGCGTGAGCGGAGATTTTAATCAGTCATAGAAATCTATCCAAATTGGTTGAAGGAAGCTTATTTGCCATAATTGATTTGTTACTAGGAGCGAAATTTATCGCTTTGTACTTAATATGGCGTGTGGGGGATGATTTTCACAAAAAATCTCAAATTAAAAAAATATATTCATTTATTTTTTTTACATTTAATTTTTTTCATGTTAATACTGCTGTAAAATTGAAGCATGTTAGTTGGTAAAAAATTTTCAAAATCAAATGGACTGGTACTGCTAATGCGTAATAATTGGCATGCGTCACTTAAGAAATTTTGTAGTTTTGCTCATTCAGTTTTTCCCAGTAGCGTTATCGGTCATATTTTTGCTTGTGTATGCGAATTGCAACTTCGCCTCTGTGTTAGATAGTTATAATTCAAATTGTTTGTCAATTGTTGCAAGAAGAGAATTTTCAATGCATAGGCATTTGAGAGCTTACGAGTGATTTTTCAGGGCCTCCAATTTTTAACGCTCAAAAATCCACATAAAAATTTGACGTATAAATTCGAATTCTTTAGCCATTAACCTTAGGCAAAATATCACTCGCAAGATCAAATTTTGCCGTGTGGATACTAACATGAGCCAACAGCGCAAGTTTTGACTCTTTTGTAGTGTTTTGAGGAGTTTTTTCGAGGCACATGTTAAAACATCTTTAAATCTATTATATATTTAAATGCGGGCTTTACTATCTCGCCATGTTTAAGCTTTTTCAACGTATTATTTTTGCATGTTTAAGCTATATCGTATATTGCAATGGTTAAGATTTTTTTTCCGATTTTCCTATTTGTATTTAGTGGTTATTTTACCGAGTTTAAATTAAGCAGCCCAATATCGAATTAGGGGTTGCGAATTTGGCCTCCAATTTGAGTGCCCGAATCATTTTAGTTAACGAGATAAGACGATTTTTGAGATTTTTCAGAAAACTTATGTTATTTTTTTTCGCAAAATCTGAAATTCCCAAACCTGTAGTTGGTTCCTGTCCGAGTATTCTCATGGATTGCGAATCTTGCCTCCAAATATGACTGCTCAATTCTTAGTAGTTTTCGAGATATGATATTTTTTTATGATTTTTTCAGAAAATTTTATTTAATTATTTCTCAAATTTTGAATTTCCCAATCTTGTACTTGGGTGCTGTCAGAGTACTGTAAGGAGTTACAAATCTTGCCTCCAAATATGACTGTTTAAATCTTTGTGGTTTTCGAGATATGACGTTTTTTGTGATTTAAAAAAAAAATTCAGACAACTTATTAATTTTTTTTAGTAAATCTGGAATTCCCAACCCTGTAGTTGGGTCCTGTCAGAGTAATCTCTAAGATTGCGAATCTTGCCTCCGAATATGATTGCTCAATTCTTTGTACTTTTCGAGATATGACGTTTTTTTGTGATTTTTTCAAAAATTTTCAGAAAACTTAAATTATTATTTGTTTTTAAAAATCTGAAATTCCCAACCCTTTAGTTAGGTCTTGACAGAGTAATCTCAAAGATTGCGAATCTTGCCTCCAAGTATGACTGCTCAATTCTTTGTAGTTTTCGAGATATGACGTTTTTTGTGATTTCTCCAAAAATTTTCTGAAAACTTCAGAAAGTTCTAATTAATTGTTTTTTCAAAATTTGAAATTTCCAACGCTATAGTTCGGCGTTGTCAGGGAACTCTAAAGAGTTGCAAATCTTGCCACAAGCGACTGCTAAATGCGACTGCTCTAATGCTTTTAGTTTCCGAGATCTGGCGTTTTTTGACTTTTTCAAAATTTCTCGAAGAACTTTGAAAATACTAACTTGATGAAGATGCAACCTTATTGTCAGCGTACACCCAGGCGTCTCAAATCTTGCCTCTTAACATGAATGCTCAAATCCTTTTAGTTTCCGAGATAAGAAGTTTTTTTTTTTCATTTTTTTTTTCGGGAAACTTAGGTTTAAAAAATTTCACAAAATTTTGGGATTCCTAACCCTATAATAGGGTGCTCTTAGTGGTTGCAAATCTGGCCTCCATATTTCTCCAGAGGCACATTAAATTTTCGAGATGACGCTTTTAAAATGGGAATTAAAAGAATGTAAACGTTCGAAATTACCAACCCTGTAATTGGGTGCAGTCAGAGTACACTAAAAGTTTGCAGATGTTGTTTCCAATATATGCGGTTTTTCATGAGCTGTCATAAAATTTTGAAGCACCGAAGGTGCGTTAAACGCTAGTTTTTATTTAATTAAAAGTGCTCATTTGGTGGCATAATAATCACGGTCTTGCATTGGAAATTGCATTGAAGGAAAATTTATCAATTGGAAGCGAAGCCGACCAAATTTGCTTAGACGGCAGAGTTTGGTTATTGAAAAATTTAAACTGTTTTGTTTTTGTCCCTGGTGTGCTGATTTACTTGAAACGAAAGCCTAGAACTTAGATATATTAGATAGTATTGAAAACAATATAAAAAGAATTTCAAAAAATTCAAATGATTTTCATTCCCAAGAGGGCGCTAAAAGAATCGAAAACCAATTTTACTGTAGTAAAGCTAAGTTTCCACGGCTGAAATAAAATCGTTTTATTTATATTATCCTCCTCGTTTGGCTGGGTGGTTAGTGCGTGAGACTCGAAATCTCTTGAATGCAGTAATTCGCTGATCGAATCCTAGACGTAGTCGAATTTCGAGGCACATTTCTATTTTTTCTTTTTGCAATTTCTGAAGCTGCTTTTTGTTGTTCTTTTGCTATTAATTGCGAAGCGAATCTTCGCCTTTGTGTATGAAAATAATGGGATCGTTTTTTTATTAATTTTTCAATTTTTTGTGACGCTTTCGAAAATTTATTCACTTATTCAAATTCTAGTTTTTCTCAGATGACTCAACCGATTTCCGAAACGTGTAACCAATGGGAAGTACGCCCACTATCCTTTTTGTTGCCTGTGTGTTTGGGGAAAGTGTGTTTGGGGAATTTTTTACTCTTTTTTTTGGATTTTTTAATTTTTTTTCCAAAAACTACCCTTCCATATCTGATTTTGATTTCAATCAAACGCAAAGGCTATGGGAGGCTCCATTGCATCAGCGGCTACGCCCAAATTTTTATCCCTCAGAAATGGCCCTCAGAAAAGTCAAATTTTTTGATTTTTGACTTTTTTTGAACTTTTCACAGAAACTACCCTTGAAATCGGAGGTTTTGGTTTCAATGGGTAGAACGGGTCGTGAGAAGTTTCCTTGTTCAAAAAGTTATGGCTTTTGGATAAGTCAAATTTATCGATTTTTGACCGTTTTTTTTTAAACTTTTTAATCGAAATCTGAGAAGCTCCCTTGCATCAGCGGCTACTTCCTATTTTTTACACAAAAAGTTATTGCCCTCGGAAAAGTAAATGTTTTGATTTCTTGTCCGTTTTTTGATACTTTTTGACTCTTCTCGAAAACAACTCAAAATGATATCAATGATTAAATCTCGGCAACGGGTTGTGGGAAGCCGCCGTGCATAAGATGCTACGTCTTAAAATTTGTTTAAAAATATTTCTCCGGGAAATTTCAGAAATCAAAAAAATTTTCACTCATATTTTAATAGAGCAACAACTAAGGTTTTGAATAAGCCCAATTTTTGTATTTTAAAGTTACCTATTTCATCCCGCATCAGTAAAACAAAATCATAAATCATCAAACAGGTACCTCCAGCTTTAGCTGGGCCTCTAGTACCGACTTAATAAGACTTTAAGAGCAATTAAATCCAAAATAATGAAATATTATCAATTTGAAAACGGACTGTATTCGCTAAAAAAGCAAGTTAAACAAATTGGGATCTAAAAGTGAAGTCTACATTTTCTACGACTGACAAACTCCTGGGGCAAAATTAGGAAAAAGTACTAACAAAAATTATTGAAATAAAATCAATGTTTACCGATAATAAATCGAATGAACTACCACAAATTTTTATGGTAAACGAGGAAAATCGTGTTACTGAGAAAATTTTGCAGAAAACGTTGATTAAGTTTATAATTGTGTATAGACGAACAAAATTTTCGCTTTCTAATTTGGTTTCTTCCAAATTTTTGTCATGCTCTTTTTTGTGAACTTTGGCAGTTTGATTTCTATCCTGTCCAATCCTTCATTTGGCTGTTTGATTTTTTAGGCTCACCTTTTGGATTTTGATTCAAAGAGGAGCTCATTAAACTGTCGCTGACAAATTTGGGCGACTGCTGACTGCACTTTTAATTTTGAAATTGGATTTTTTCATGGATTATTGTCAATGAAGTAATACAAAAAATCAAAATGGGTAGTTTTCTAGGGTTTCTGGGCATTAATTTTTTTTCCGGCTGTCTGTTGTCTAGGCTGCAAATTCAAGACAGTTTCAAATTCGATGGATGCTCAGCCAATGCACTGAGATTAGTTAGTTGAGGGATTGCTGTATATGTTTAATTAATTCCCCGTATGTCAAAAACAAACGTATTTTTTCTAACTATTCCTACCCCCATTCTGTTTCGATATCTTTTCAGGTACTCCATTGCCAGTTAACTTGCAAATTGTAAAAAGTGTTGTCTGTGCAATTGGAAATGTCTACACAGGAAGCTCCTCCGCCATCATTCCCCAGTGCCAACCAGAGACTACACTCGACTGCAGAGGTCACGTGGAAGACATTCAAAGAGTGTGTCAAAGGAGAGGTCAAGTATGTATGCGAAGACTACAAAACAATGCAGGACATGAACGAACACGTGGGTGAGAAGTTGCGCAACACCTCAGATAGTTTCAACAAGATTGGCTCACAGATGCAGACTTTGAATCGGAAGTCTGAAGAAATTGAGGCATATTTGAAAGAAGTAGACACGATATGCGAGAAAATTGACAAATTAGATCACTTAGCGACCGGTCTTGATACCTATACAAGGACTTTAGAAGCTAGATATAAATCTCTGCTAAAACAAAGTTAAAATAAAATGTATTTATCAAAATAGTTACAACTGAATACAATTTAAGGAATTTATTTTTGAAGGTTTCAGCATTGGTGTAAAGTTTTGAGTGGTCTGGCTGATTTGATTGAGATCACCATATGAATGGAATGTAGGCTTTTCTGTCTCTTGGGTAGTTTTTAAAACTGGAGTGATAAAATTGGTGGTACTGCACAGCCCGGGGGGCCAAATTGGCGAAAGTGAATATCGCAAACGCCCACTGCTCCAAGTTACCCGATGCAATGGCAAAGCCTAACCACTCGGCAGTCTCCCCGAAGTAGTTCGGACACGAAACGAACTGGAAAAATCCACCCTCTGGCATTATGTAATTACTGCCTTTCTTCTTTTCCTCCTTACTTGTCGTTTTTTCGTTCATGCTTCTAGTAATTTTGTCACGTTTTGATCGCAGGCTAATGAGATAATAATCACTTTTGATGTTGATAAAGGCCCCGATACAAAATAGAGCCAAGCCAAGATAGTACATGGTAGAGTTTGAACTGATATTTTTGGTCGCAAGGGAAGCGCCCTGCAAATAGCCATTCCAAGTGCAAAATATAAGGCCAAGTAAGTGAGTGATAATGGGGTTTTGACGCTTAGGTTTTGTAAATAGTGGGAAAATGAAAGATCGGTGAAAATAGTGCACTGCGAAAAGCATTAGAAGTACCTCATTGCGGCTGGTAGAGGAAAACAGTTGGATTTCTGCCTTTAGTAGGTAAAAAGCAGCGATTAAAAACGATGGGGCCTCTTGTATGATCCAACCAATTTTCGGGTTTATTGTTAACGAGGTTTGAAACACATCTGCAAATCGCCCGTATGCTGCAGGCATCTTGACTAAAAATGCAAATGCATAATAAATGACTCCACTTGCTATCATCGAATACGCAAGAAATGCGAGCATGAATGGCTCGGCGAGCCAGTCTGAGTTTTGCTTGTATAAATTCAGCAAAAACTGATACATGTTACTAATATTTCTGATGGTTTAATAAATTGCCAAAATGGAAACTCGTGTCAAATTTCGTGGCATTTGGTCAGATCAGGTCACCGAGTAAATATCAAAGTTGGTCAATAAAATCGAATGGTTTCAAATACGTTTTTTAGTTTTTTAAAGTTCAGTAATCGAGAGTGAGCTCTTCGATAAAATTTGGCAATTGATTGAGTGTGCGAATTGATTTTTGTTTCTGTCTACTTTTTCTAATCCATCACAAGTCTGAAAAATAAAAATCAATTATCGATTGTTTTTAATGTGCGCATATCTGATGCAATAAATTTAAAAACATGTGTTCTCAAGCATGTTTAAAACATGTTTATTCTGATTCGATCAACAAAATAATTCTTTAAACGGATAAAGGTTTCAGAAAAATTATTATACACTACGGGTGAGTTATGATCTACACAATATCTCCTGAAAGCACTATTGCTGGTGGTTAAGGCGTGTTATCGCTTAATTGAATTTCTGTCAGATGTAGGTGTGAAAGTGTGTTAAAAATATCTGTATATTCTTCAAACATGGCCTTTTATGCGTGAATTGAATTGGTGGATTGTTTTCAGAAGGGAATGAGCTGATTGGGGATGGGGAATGACACGGACATCTACATAGTGGAGGAGCTGATGAAGAAGAGGCAGCGCAAGGGGAAGACAGAGTATCTGGTCAAGTGGGTGGGATGGAGCGACTCACACAACAGTTGGGAGCCAAAGGCAAACATCCTAGACAAAAACCTCATCGCAGACTTCGAAGCAGAATGGCAAAGCAAAAACAAAAGCTCTGCTTCCAAAGAAAATCCCTCCTCCTCAGTTGAGAAATATCATCATCACAAAGTCAACAACTTGCAAATATCAACACAAGAAAGCTCAATAACTACTGGTGCTAACAGTACACCCTCGAGAACAAACACAAGTTCTTCCATCTCTTCCTCGGCTTCAGAAACCGATTTGAGTTCAACGAACTATCGCAAACGAAAGTTCCAAATCGAAGAAACGCCCCCTGAAAAAGGCGTGAAACTGTCCTCATCAAGTAACTTTACATTCCCAAATTCTAATTCAATCTCACCCGACCAGTTTCCTAACGAAGTAGATGCTATTGAAATAGGGCAAAAAGATGCGTCGAAAAGATCCTCTCGGAAAATTCCAGGAGCAGCGAAGAGGTCCAGAGTCTACCCGAGTAGTTTGAACCAGAAGAGCGTGAGTGTTACAGAAGTGACGGCCCAGAACTTAACAGTCATAATAGCCGAAAGTCCCACTCCAGAAGGCTTTTTCGAAAACTATCCACAAACAAACTGAACTTTGTCATTTATTGTTTGTTAGTAGGAGAAACCTAATTATGATTAGAAGTTATGCAAACGAAAGCAAATGCTCCCATCATAGTCTGAGATGAATGACGATTTATTGAGCATGGAATCGATTCAGTCATTCTAATGTGAAATGCCGTCATCTTAAGTTCGACCAGAATTAGAGATTTTCGTTCGTCAATTTTATTTATCGAAATTTCTTTGTGAAGTAGTAGTTATTCGTTATAGTTATCTATTGTGGGTTAGAGCAATAGTCTATGTTCCCCGAATGAAGTGGAACAAATTGATTCGTATTCTATTTTAATGTCTTCTCGATTTAATTGATGACTTCCCTGTGTTCACAGCACAAAAAATGTTCGTGATAATGCTTCAATTTATACCAAAGGCGGATCTAGGGTTTTTTTCCTGTATTTCAAACATGACTGGTGCCCTGCGGTGCGATTCCTGTTTTAGTATGCTTTCGGAGACGAAAAAAGAATCAAAATATGGTAACCTATCATAACTAGACAACAATTCATCTCAAATTGTCGCTGCAGTTACAACTAGGGTTGTTAAAATTCTGTTTTCATTAATAAAAAACTTTTAAAACGTTTTAAAACACTGTTTACAATCTAAACTCGAGAAAAAAACTCAAGTTTCAGAAAACTTTATTACTCGGATAAACTCAGTGTTTCTCATTGAGAACACATAAGCAAAAAGCCAATTTGGAAACTTTCTGTGGTCCAAGTCGATTTCCTAAAACACTCGAACGCAAATCACTCGAACGTTTTATGATTCTGTTATTGTTGACATTCAATCAACAACATATCACTGTTTTGCGGGAAAATTCCATTAACTTCGGCGCTTGCATTTTGTGAAAAAGTGGAACAAAAAACAATAATAAAAAACAGCAATAAAAAACAAACGTTTAAAATACTGTTTTAAACATATGGTGTTTTAAACATAACAACCCTGGTTAAAACGATGATCCCAAATTTTGTGAACGATGAAATTTTTCTCGGAATTAACTGTCTGCGTAATAGCTCCGCTTTTGAACCTTTGAAAAGTGTTTCACTTCTTAGCTTTGTTCGCCATTTTACGTCTTTGTTGACTGAGTTCAAATCGAATGTAGTAGTATAAAATTACATCTAGATGCTAGCTGTATTCAAAATAATTAGAAGCTTTAGCAATTTCTTTTTGAGGCCAAATTACGCGTGCTAATTGATTCACAAACATTATTACAGACTATTAGAAACTATTTGAACCTTACGGTAAACTTGGTTAGATTTTTTTATGCAGAAACCTGAGTTAGAAAACACAAACGCAAAAGGAGCTCGAAGAATAATACAAAGATATGTTCATTGTTATACTCCAGCAACACACCATTGCTAAAAAAACTCCTCACTAATGTTTGTCTGATAAAGCGAAGGTAGTTCCTTCTGTGCTGTTTAAATTGCGTATGAACATTGAAACAGGCGAAGCGGATCTTCATAAAATAAGAATAGCATGGTGAGCTAGCCCACAAAAAATAAGCCGGTAGTCGAAGTCGAAAAAAAACATCTACCAAAATTTTCAGACCACAACCTGCCTCGAATAAAACTACTAATTTCGAGAAGCGCAACCGTAGGCCTCCTCATCCTAGCAGTAGAAACCATTCGAAAACCAGAGGCTAAGACGGCAATTTTTGGATAGCCGACTGATTTGACTACAAAAAAAACTTGATAGATACTAAGCATTGCAGATATAACGGTGCAATTATTCAAGGCTTATTTTAAACTTTCCTTATTTCTCTTTTAGAGCTGTTTTTGTCGTTTTCTCGCGTGTGTTTACAAAGTGCAGCTTCGTTATGATTATCACCGTAGTCACTTATGTCTTGCCTTACCGAATTTTGCCGCTTTTACAGACATATCGCTGCCCATTGTTCAAAATCATCAAAGAGCCATTTTTAACCCGTTGATTTGTCTTTGCATATATATATTTCTTATTATTGTTCCGACCATTGAAAAATGGGGAGGAATTTTGTATTCGGGTGTGTTTTAATTTTTTCCACGCAAAATCAGGTACCACAAATACAGTGCTGATTTAAATTAACCGGACAAAACGCGTTAAACTTGAAATTTAAAACGCGTTTTTCTCAAATTGGGTTGAATTTAGGAGAAAACTCATGAAGACAAAACTTGCTTAAAATTTTAGCAGAATTAATATGGTGTAATTTGTTTTGCAAAATTCGGGTCCGAAATTTTACTCCAAAAATGGGTCATTTTGGCTTTTCTTAGTTAATCAAAAATTACGCCAAAAATACCCAGTCGATCACAGACATAATTATTTCAAAGTGAGCCCCTTACGTAGCTCAACAAACTTTAAGAAGGGTATAATCTCCAAAAAATTGTATAAGTTAATTTATTTTTGTTTGATAGACAAAAAAGGTCACTTTTACTATATAAAATACCAACTTTTTATTTAAAAACAATTTTTAAACAATTTTCAGTTTTTTTTGGAGATTATACCCTTCATAGAGTTTGTTGGGCTATGTAAGGGGCTCACTTTGATATAATTATGTCTGTAATCGACTGGGTATTTTTGGCGTATTTTTTGATTAACTAAGAAAAACCAAAATGACCCATTTTTGGGGTAAAATTTCGGACCCGAATTTCGCAAAACAAATTACACCATATTAATTCTGCTAAAATTTTAAGCAAGCTTTGTCTTCATGAGTTTTCTCCTAAACTCAACCCAATTTGAGAAAAACGCGTTTTAAATTTCAAGTTTAACGCGTTTTGTCCGGTTAATTTAAATCAGCACTGTAATAATCGGACTGAGTTGATAAATATATCATGTTAAAAGCCTTTCAGTAGTGATTCAAACGACCTTGAAAAATTCCTAGTGTAAAAAAATCAGTTTGAAATTTTTAGTTTTTCGTCTAATTTCAAATAAAGTGATGATAAAATTGGTCATTTAGCTGAAAAAAAAACTTTATTTTTCCAGACAAACTAGTTTTCTCAGCTATATTTAGCACAGGATGACCACTTGGTCACTTTTTTACTGACCAGTCACTATTGGTCACTATTTTTTCAATGGTCACTAAAAGTCACTATTTACAACGGTTTTTGATGACAGAATCTAAAAGTTTTCTAAAGGCGCCTTGGGCGCCAATATATACTAATATTGAGGGGGGAGCGCGCGCCGAAAAAACGCATTTTTTTCAAGTTTTTTTTAAAGTGCCCTAAAACTGACTGTTACAGCCTGTTTATTCAAAATTATGCCTGCGGCGCAGAAATTTTCAAAGTGCCTAAAACTGACTTTTACAGCCTGTTAAGTCAAAATTATGCCTGCGGCGCAGAAATTTTGGACAAAACAGGGACTTTTTAGTGCTTTGGCAGAGCTTGAAAAATTAATTTGGCCGACCGACCTGAAAAAAAGGTCGACAAAAAAATTCGAAAATTGTCATAGTCACTATTTTTTTCTCAAAAAAGTGGTCACCCTGATTTAGCACTTCCTTGGCATGAAAAAAAAATTTTGAAAAACATTTTAAAATTCTGGTAATATGGCGCAAACCGCGAAAAATATCATAAGTTAAACCGCAAAATTGGTTTAAAGTTGTTGGTTTTCCGTCTTATTTCGACAGAATAAAGTGAGAATAACTTGTTTAATTGGTCATTTAGGCTATAAAACTTGATTTTTCTGGACGGAAGCTAGTTTTGAAAGCTATATTTGACACTTACCTGACAATAAAAATTAAAAAACAAAAAAATATATTGTTTACTAATTTATTAACTTTTTACGCTTGTGTATAGGTTTCTTATGACATCATGTACAAATAACCTTAATTTGTTGTTAGTGGCGTTGTAGGATTATCATTTTAGTTCGACTGATCATTGGCGAAAGCTGAAAATTTTTTTACGCTCATTTTCGGTTGCGGCTTTCGGAAATTACAATACCTATTGCAATTACAAAAACAATTGCCAACAAACATACTTATTTTTGAGCAAATCGCAATTGTTGAATTTCGAAGAAAAAATAGATGCCATTAAAGCTCTTTGAATTTTTAGAACAATTTATGATTGACAGTTTTTTTGATATCATTCACCCACTTTTATAATAATAGATCAGTTGGTAAATTTCTTGTCCTCTTGAAAATCTGAAAATTAAATGCCACTTTCGAAACTAGAAGTCGATCACGTTTTTCGTGAACTTTACACTTTCGCTGTTCGATTAACAAAGGAAATTAACTGAACTGAAAGAAATCATAAGTCAAACATCGAAAGAACCAATTTGAGCCTAAAGAAATGTTTAAAATTCTCCTGAAAAAAAATCATCGCGATCTATATTAGAGTTTGAACTGCGTTCATCGACTAATGCAATTATGAGCGATTTATTTTCTCCTAATAAATTCAAAATAAACTTCTAGATTTCCCTCAATGTCCATATAAAAATGCAATGCAACAAACTAAATGCAATTATCTGAATAAATTGGAATTAATAAAATTTGGTATAGAAGAACTTGTATTAAACGGAACCACATATGAGCGTCTGATAAAGTCCAAATACGACTGATACGGTATACAGAAGCCCTTATCATATCTCATATTTAAAAACAATTCGAGCTGCAAGGAAAAAGTCGATAAAAAGTTTGTGGCTGAAGTAAACTGGCTGAAATTTTCGTTTTTTAATGCGAGCTGGTATTGGTTTCAAATGAGTCACAAATTACTGCCTTGAATCAGCAGCTTGAATAAAGTGACGTTATACATTGATAACATTTGCTAACCGCTTACGCTTGCGATAAGCAAGCGTTGTTAAATCGGAATAAAGAGTTAGTTAACAACTAGTTTAACAGAATCACTAATCATTTTACTTTTGGTTTATTTAGTTCGCGCATGTGGTGCCAACACACCTGCCTTTATAGACAAGGGTCAATGGTTTGAATCCGGCCAGGATCTGTTTTTTTAAGAGGAAAAGTGTCTGCTCGTCACAAAATGTTTGTCTGACTTCTGTTTGTCTGCTTAGTTGCCGATGCACGAAATTAGCCTAAAATTTAGGCGTTTTTACTTAAATTGAAAATTTTATAAGTGTATTTTGGTTTCACTTTATAAATTCAAGAAGTGTTCTGCAAGTTTTGTGCTTGACATATGCAACACATGTGCTTGAGGCAAGAATTCTCAAAAGTTCGATTTTAGTCGGGACCTAGTTCTGCAAATTTTCGACCATTTTAAACTTTCGTGTCTGCTTTTTTGTCGGCTTAATTCCCGAGAAAATGTTTGGTTCGTTTTTAAGACTCCAGGAAATTGAGTCAGAATTTTTGACATAGAGGTAAGCTGTAGCTTCGCAAACACGCGATAAAGCGGCAAAGATTCAGAAGCTTTAAAAAGCGTAAAAACTCAAATTTTGCATGTTATAATTTGGTATGAAATAATCTAAAGACAACAACGCTAACTTCGCGTGTAAAAATTTAGCATGTATTGACCCAAATTGCGTATACGTTATGGATTTCAATAGTCTCGCGAAGCAATTCGAGTTGGAAAATTACTGGAATAGGCTTTTAGTTAACTTACTGTTGTATGAAACAAATAGCTTTTTTCGGTTCAATTGATTGATGAATTAAAAAGTATCAACAGGGTAAGCTTATTACTAATCAAATGTCAAAGCACTTGGGATTATAATGCCAATGTAGCCTACCGATTCAAAAACATCACCAAATGTAGCACTTTTTATTTGCGACTTAGGTTGGACAAATAAAAAGTTGCGTCGTAATATCACACTACGCTACGTTCGTGTAAACACATTGCAAACTGAAAGTTGGAATGTGTTAATTAAATCGATGAACCTAAAAATGATTGCAAGACTTGAAAACTTATTAATTCTCAAATGACTTAATTCAATTTTCCTTATTTAAAGCGTGCGTTCTTCATGGAAACTCGTTTTTTATAGGCTGAAGTGTATTATTTGGTGGTTTGACGTTTGATTTATTTTCCACTTCGTATAGCAAGTTAGATTTCGCTCTCCAATGAAACCAAAGTAAATGGTAAATAGATCGAAAACTAGCTTTATTTTTAGTTTCAAAATCGGCTTCAATGTTTCTATTTTCTGGCACAGCTACTTAATTATTCATTAATCCTGTTTTTTAAGAATGGCTTGTTTTATCGACAAGTTTCAATCAAAAAAATTTATAAGAAATTAACTTTTTGTGAAATTTGAGAATTAATGAGTTTTCAACTTTATACTTCATTAAACTCAGCTATTTTTATAAGCCTGCTCGCTCGCCTTATTCGCACGAATTTAGACGAAAAACCAAAAATTTCCAACCGGTTTTTTATGTTTGAATCACTACTGTAACGGATGAATATGATTTAGCACTCAACTCTCTCCGATGATTATTTGTGGCAGCTGATTTTGCGTGGAAAACAAGAAAAGCTGAAACACATCCGAATACAAAGTTCCTCCCCATTTTTCATATGGTCGGAACAATAAAACAGCCCAAAATCAATGAACTCAAAGAGTCAAAAATATCAAAACTGTATTGCGACATTTTTCAAGTTTTGAAAGCAAAGTACCATTTCTGGAGTTTTCGTAATTGTTTTATGATTGACTTCTTTCGGAAAAAGGTTATTCAATGTGGGATTACTTTATTCTGCTAAAACAGCTAAATAACCAAATCCACTGCTGAATCTACAGTCAATTTCGTTTCTTTGTGCGATTTTTATCAAAGCGGTAAACAAGCAAAAGACGCGCCCTAAATAATTGTTTTCACTTCGTTTATTGACGATTAAAACAGGCGAGTTGTCGAATAGAGGCAAATGGATTATTTTGACTGGGATAGTTTTTGCGTTAAAACTTTTGTCAATTACCACAACGGCGAAGCCGAGCTTCGCATGACGTGCGATACAAAATGCATGACTGTCATAAAAACAACTTATAAAATAACAACATCAATTTTTCGTAAAATTGAACGGGAAACCAACATGCAAAATGAAGATCAATTCATTGTAATAAATTTTATTCTAAAGAACTCAATAAATCAACGTCAAAAGGTGTGCTTTTTAAATTCTTCAATTACGACCTACAGGGCTATAATATGATATGTCACTCGATACCTCTGGTAATTATTTGTGGTACCTGATTTTGCGTAATTTTTTCGATGAAAAAAGTAACAAAAAAAATAAACACTTAAACCAACCTGAAGACAAAGTTCCTCACCAACTTCAAAGGTCGGATGAAAAAGCCTGGTTTCCGATTATGAGACAATTTCTCTTGCGAGTAATGAAATAACACTTGTTTTACGTTTTCTGCACCATTTTTGTCTCATGCTATAAGGACCATGCAATATGCACCATTAGAAGGCGCTGACTGACCATATGCACACCTGCGAGTATGCGCAGCTTGCCAAGTAATAAATAATTCACAGTCATTTCAACAAAAACTTCTACGTGGAATTCCGTTTTAAACCTTTATTCCCATATTTTTTAATTCACTCAAAACGCGGTTCGATAAATTATATGTTTGAGAATAAACACCCGTCAAGCAACGTAATAGTACATTGGAAAAGTAATCGTAGTTCGTACTTCAAATTATCCAATCTCCATAAACGGAGATTGCAACATGAACGTGTGGGCTGAAAGCGCAGATAGTGCGCGAAATCGTGGCTCGGCTACTGCTGGAAAGAGGCGCAACTTAGGAGCAGTGGTTTTGGACGACAACCCCGAAAGTGGCGAACTCGGCTTCGAGGAAAACGCGCGCAGCCCATCTGCGACCAGTGTGAAAACACCGAATTTTATAAACGCTAATGAAAAAGAAGACAAACGCACTTGCAATGTTGAAAATATAGCGAGAGAAAGTAAGTCGGCTCCGAAACAAGCGCCTGTAGAAAGTGATGCGCAAGAATATAATAATGACAGCGATCGTCCTGAGAGTGCTAGAAGCAAGGTTTCGTTCGCAGCTATTGTTTTTAACGCACAACAAACAGAACTGATGACGAAAGATAAAAAGGAACAGGTGAGTCAATCGTGGGGAAAATGACTGAAGTGATTTCGAAAGGAATTGATGCAGAAGTTGGCAAGTAAACAAGTTGCAAGTGAATTCTGTATCTAAATGAGCTGAATCTACGCTTTATTTATTTCTTTCCTCGATCTCTGGTTGAGCCCAAATAGGAAACTAATTTTGGACAATTATAGCCGGTTACATTGCAAGTAGCCCAGAATGTTGCCACCAGTCTTGAAAAACACTCAAAAACGTTTTTTTTTTCAAATAGGTTTTTTTTTTCTGCGTGGTGTGATAAAAGAATTTGAACAAAAACTAGAACTTGGGCATATTCGACAGTCATATTCTGAAGAAAGATGGCTAGAACAAAAACAAATCAAATTTTTATTGCAGAAAATTTTTGAAAAATTTTAGAATCTCAAAACGGCGTTACAAAACTCCAAAAACTACCTCAACTTGACCAATATTTCAGCATAAATAAGCAGATTCTAAACGACTTAAGCTAAGCATAAATAAGATCGCTCGCTCTTTACTCGTTCAAAATTAGACGAAAAATCAAAACTTTCAAACCGTTTCTGCGTGGTGTGATAAAAACAAAAAAACTACAACTTGGGCATATTCGACAGTCATAGTCTGAAGAAAGATGGCTAGAACAACAAAAAAAATCAAATTTTTATTGCAGAAATTTTTAAATCCCAAAATGGCGTTAGAAAACTCCAAAAACAAACTTAGCTCGAGCAAAACTTGAGCATAAATAAGCAGATTCTAAACGACTTAAACTAAGAAAAGATCGCTCGCTCTTTATTCGCTCAAAATTAGACAAAAAATCAAAACTTTCAAACCGGTTTTTCTCGACACTGGAAAATTTATTGGATGTGGTCGAATTACGACTGAAAGAACTTCAATACGAAATATCAATCAACCCAGTCCGATGATCAATTGATGTACCTGATTTTGCGTGGAAAAAAAACAAAAACACCCGAATACAAAGTTTCTCCCCTTTTTCAATGGTGAGAATCATCCCGTCCAAATTAAATGAGATGATGTTGTCACAATACTTGTACCAATCAAAAGCTAGGTACATTTGTTTTATTTGCAGGCGTATGTACCACCGAAAAAGAGTGAGCCAAAGCAGAAGAAAGGGCCGAGCAAGGGGGCCAAAATGTGCAGAAGGGTCTTCAGGTGGACCCGTTTGTTACTGCAGCTCATAATAGTGTTGGGGGTGGTGACTCTGTGTCTCATAAGTGCAGTGCTGAGCTTCATGAAGTTCATTGAGTCGAGTGGGCAGCCTGCCTCCATTTACAAACCCAAGAAGATGGATGGACCACATGTAGAGCCTGGTAAGACTGAAACCATCACTCGACCTCCTAAAGCAAAATACATATCTTCACTAGATAATGGCATACCTGTTATTAAAAGCAACTCAAAAATGGAAAACCAATGAACTGTGAGAAAAAGTTAAATAAACAAAATTTCAATTGTCTGTATTTGCATCGAGTAAATAAAGAATCTATTTTTTTGAAATTTTAATATTTCTTTAGCCGCTAAGGTCATTTTTGGGAGAAAGTCAACCTCAATTTTATCATTGCTGCTCATTATATATTAAATTTAATCCGACGCTCACTATGACCGTTTTTGAGAGGAGCTTCTAAAGGCTCAAACAAAGCTAAAGAGAGCTTACACTACAAGACATGATGATAATTGCCGTAACAAAAGTAAGTAGTCATGTAACTATTGTCAAGATAGTGCCCTCATTGGGCTAAAAGTAGTAGGAATTAGTAGGAAACAATCATTACACATGCACAGATAATTACAGCGATAGCAATAAATATTATTACTCCGTTTCTGTGCTAAATATCCATCCAAATGCATTAAAAGAACTTTGTTAGGGATATTTGTACTTGTGAGATTTTAGAGTTCTTTTACTCACAAGTACAAATATCCCTAACAGAAATCATTGTTCGAAAATTTAAAAATGCTTGCAGCTGCAGAAATTTCTTTGGGAATTAGAGAGTTCTATTACATTGATAATGCTATGATAGAGTTGGGAAATTGCAGTCTTCCAGAAATCATCAGAATCACCGCGAAATCATCATCAGATCAGAATATTTTCTCACTACACCTTCGAATCCAAGAAGAGGGTGGAAAATCAACGATGCTGATGATTATGATGATGAACAGTTTTATTGTCCGCGACAATGCTTGGCACAGCGCCTTCAAAAGGCACACGAAGAGAATAGTTCCAATGAAACCATAGAGAAGCCTTAAGCCGGGATTTGTCAATGGTTGAATTTGCCAAAATGAATCGAATTTCTCTATGCTGAAACTTTTGATTTCTTTTTAATGAATATATTTTAAAATCAATATTACACTGGTTACAATAGTTTCTCCTATATCAGGAATGGTGTTCATTGGCGTGGATCTTGATTTGATAACGTGTGAGCTGTTCAACTTCACGTCTCTGGACCTGGAAAACCTTCCTAAAAACGAGACATGTGACCCCATGTCCATGCAGCTTCTGTCCTCCGATTCCCTCAGTGGGACAACCGAGGTGAAATTTTATGGTTCTTGGTATATTTGTATTCTAATGCACATTCGAGCAGTGGTTTAATATTTTTGAGAAAAAAATCTAAGAATTGAATCAAATGGTGTTTGTAACAGAACCAATTATTCGAATTGAACATTCAAATCATAACACAAAAGAAACTTAAGTATCAATGCGCTACAATAGATGGCTCTTACCGGGAGTCTAAACTCAAACTTTAAACTTTGAGCCTAAACTCCCAGTAAGATCCATGCCGGAGTTTAGGCCACGCGGTATAATTTAACTGTCGCCCTGACAACTTTGAAGCTCAAGCCCTGACATTTAGTCTCAAAATTGCAAAAAAAAGCTGTCCAGATTGAAAAAACGCAAAATTACCAGAAAAAACATAACTTAAAGTAATTAATACCAAAATAACTTCTTCTTACATGCTTCTTTTCAGTTTTTCAAGTTCTTCCTTGGCACTCAATTTCTGACTCCTTGCGTTTTGCAGAGTCCCGGAGAACATTCGACGCTTTGACACCCGTGTTGCCCAGCGTATATGCTTTCTTGCAAAGAACACATCTGAACTCATGCTCAGTTGTTGATTTAGCAACCCACAATTTAAATTTACCATCTTGAAGCCAGTCTTCATTGAACTTACATCTTCCCTTGACTGAACGTTCGCGACTCATATCCTTGAAAAAATTACTGGTTAACGCTTAATACACAATTGAATTTAGACTTTGAAGTAAAAACTAAGGTTAGCAACGCTTTCACGCTCCTGGCTCTGACACAACTTTGCTCGCCCTGACAAGTTTTTGTTCGCCTCAATAAATGTAACTTACCGGAAGTTTTAACTCAACCTTTTTTGTATTATAACTCAAACTTTCAAACTTTTTTGTATTTTCAGTTCATCTGAAGTCTTTACTGATCATTTTACATAAACTTAAATTATTGCAACCTCTTGATATTCAATGTATTAGTTTTTGAAACAAAAAACGAGACTGCTCGTATCAGGGGAAGCCTTGAATAATCCGACTGCCTTTTGAGGTCTATGGAGCAGTAATAACATGAAAAAATTAAATGTATTAGAATGAAAAAAATATATATATTTTTTGCTCCATTAACAAATCAATTATAGCAACTAAGCTTCCTTCGATCAATTTGGAACGATTTCTAAGACGGACTAAGTTTCCACTTACGCGTTAATAGCGTGAAATATATCGCGCGTTGATTGTCCCAAATCGGCCGAAATGGCAATTTTAAAAATTCCTTCAAAAATGGCATTTAAAAAGTCGAAATTTGTCTGAAGAAAAATGTGCCCATCACGAGCACAAATATTCCGTTATTTTGGTTACGAAAATCGGAACAAAAATCAAAGAGTTCAATATCTTTCAAAAGCCCACTTCAAATCATCTTCGCATCCATATTTATTGACTACAATTTTATGATCTTTTCGCATTTTGAAGACTGGCTGAAATTTCAAGTAACGAAGTATAATAAGACTGCTCGTATATCAAGGCAAAATCCCGAGTGTTCCGACTGCCCCTTGATTCAGTTTTTTGGAAAAGAAAATATTGAAAACTTTAAATTTTGAACAATATCAAAGTGTAAAATTTTGAGTCGTACGAAATTTATACACCAATTAGCAAGCCTCAATTCAGCTTAAAACGATTTTGTTCTGCTGGACTTGATTCGCGTTACGCACTCAGCATTGAAGCGCCCATAATTTAGTCCAGAACATAGCCAATTTGGCAATTTTCAAACCCCCAGAATTTTTCAAAAACTAACCGGACGTAGAATATATTTTTACATTCGAACTCTGTAAATTGATATCTTCAATGGGGTATATAAAATTCTTGTCGAAAACTATTGTTCCGATCGGCGAAAGTTGACTGACACCGAGCATAAATATTCCGTTTTCTTCGAAAGTCAGAACCATAAAAAACGTTTTAAATGTTTTAAAACACTGTTTAAAATTTAAACTCTTGGCATGTTCTCTGAAAACGTGAGAGTATAAAACAAGTGGGGACCGATCGTTTAGAAGACCAAAATTAAAATTTAAACTCTTGGCATGTTCTCTGAAAACGTGAGAGTATAAAACAAGTGGGGACCGATCGTTTAGCAGACCAATCTTTTAGCATAAAAAGTGTAAAATGAGTCTTTTAGCAGATCGACGCAATAAACTGATGCATGGTTGATTGACAGACTCAAAAAGACGCTGTCTTGGGTCACGCTTCCCCAATTGAGACAATTATCGCACAATTTGTCAACATACCATCAACTTCAAAACACAACAGTCTAAACACTCGTGTTGAGTGGAAGCGGAGCAATCGGACGCTGACCGCCCATACCGCGTTTGAAAATAGCTTTGACTTGCTAATTGTTCTGGGTCTGCTAAAAAACCGGTCTGCTAAAATCCCTAGCACCAAAACAACTATTGCGCGATGCTAGGATAAGGCGACTTCAGAAGGCAAACACTGACCAGTAATTGAAGCACTGGTCACGCATTGTGCAAAACACTCGAACGTTCTATAACTCTGTTATTGTTGACATTCAATCAACAACACATCACTGTTTTGCGGGTTCCATAAAAAAATTCCATAAACTTCGATGCTTGTAGCTTGTATTTTGTGAAAAAGCGGAATAAAAAACAATAATAAAAAACAGCAATTAAAAACAAATGTGAGTGGCACTACTAAAAATCAACAGATTTCAAGGCGAGCAGTTAAAACCCTTCCCAATTAGATCTTTCAAAACCGCATAATTATTTCATGGTAGAAGCTACTACGCTGAAGAATTGCTTTACGTAGAAAGTCAATTTTTCGATTTGCTCGGATTTATTAATGACTACCAGACAAATTATTTGCAATGTCTCCTCTCCTTAGACCTCGCTGCCGCCGTTCATGACACAGGAGAAAGAGAGTGGGAGTAACCTGCACATGCACCTGGTCAGAGGTCCCGCTCAGTGGATGTTCAAACACGCCTCCGCCATACAACTCACAGTACCCATCACTGACACGGGCACATGGGGCATACTCGTCAACAAATATGACGACGCACAACTTCTGTAAATTTAAATAAGTTCTTACTGCTTCACGCAATAATGAAACTCCATCAATAACAAATCATCTATCGCAGTTTTACAAGCAAAGCTTCAAGAATGGCTTCTCTGATATCTGAGATTCGCAAGGAACATCTCCTAATTTGAAAAAAAAAACAAAAAAAAAACATTGTTACAAGGACTGAAACAATTCTGTTCACATGAGTTTATTGAGGATCTCTTGAAGGACAATGACTCATCCAGAACAGAAATTGCCGCATTAATATATGCTAGTACTTTTAGTTTTGAAACTGCCCTGACTGGGTCAGCGGACGACAGATGGTTGCTGGCCGCAGATCTCATCCTCGGTAACTCGATGAACTTCGTGTCAGCAGACTACCAGACTGTGTTCCTCATGAGCAAACAGGATTTCAAAGAGTTCGGGTCAACACAGGCCACACGAATCGACATGGAGGTAAGCATAATGCTAATACCATGGGTTAGAATAAAACAAATGATCTTATGTTGAAAAAAATGTAGTTTGAATACAGACTTCGTTGACGGATGTTTATTCGGTGCCTCGATTAAGCGACAGATCTATCGCTTAAACGAGGCAACGAATAAACATCCGTCAACGACGTCACGAAGTTTGTATTCATACTACATTTTTTTAACATAAGATATAAGATAGTTTTAGGTATAAATTTCAGTTCGCTCAAAAGAGTTAACTAAAATCTTGAACAATGTAAGTATCACAAAAGCTTGCGACCAATAAACGTTTTTCTTTCAAGTATTCGAAACCTTGACCGACCTGAAGGCGCCTCCATTTAGTTGGGCGAATTCATTTTTTTTAACCGAACAGCCTAAATTTTTCTTCAGCGCTACTGCACTAAGTTTGAGGGGAAGCTCGCGCCGTAAAAAAGCGTTTTTGGTTTGAAACTTTCCAAAAAAGAGCTTCATAATCATTTTCGTATAATCATATCACAAAATAGTTTTTATAGTGTTTTAAGAGAGCTTGGGAAATCAATTGGTCGCCCTAAGACACAATTTTTTCCAGAAAGTTTTAGAAATACTGTAGAAAATCAGAAAATAATGGGTTCAAATACAATACTGTTTCGACAAGAAGTTTTTTCTGCCGGTTATTAAAACGTGGACCATCATATCCAAGACAACGCAAACGCAAGCAACTGAGCTACATCCGCAACGGATCTGCTATGAAAGGCTTGTCAAATCAAAGCGTAATACAGACAAGCCTTTCATGGCAGATTCGTTACAATGTAGCTCAGTTGCTTGCGTTGTCTTGGGCATGATGGTCCACGTTTTAATAACCGACAAAAAAAAACTTCTTGTCGAAACAGTATTGTATTTGAACCCATTGATTGTCTAAATTTCTATAGTATTTCTAAAACGTACACTATTTAAGGAATTATTCCCTATTAATTGCGAATGCAATTTGTATAAAACGGAGGCACATAAGACTATTCACTCATTTTTCCAAAAAAATCAAGTAAAGCCAAATAACTACATATGGTGTTTGCTTATTTTAGATTTCTTTGTTGGGGCTGGACAAAAGTGGGATGAATGAGAAGATAGGACAACATGAGTCGAATGCCACACTGGCCCATGTAGAGGCCCTTTTTCAGTGGAAGGACGGATACATCATGGAGGGAGACACGTGAGTAAAACATAACAAATCCATTAATTCTTCAACTCTCCATTCCTCCCCGACGATCGACTCCAACATTTTTAAGGCAATTTTGGCGCTATAATAAACTGTGTGGGTCTAAAAGACGGTATTTTAGGTGTGAGGTGACACCCTGTTGAAAGCGACAATTGATCGAAAGCAATTATTCGCACTTTTTTTGAAAAGGCGACAATTCACACGGGGCAATAATTCGTATCAGGCGTCAATTAGTAGTTTTTAATTGATATGTGGAAATAAATAACAGTTTCTTGATGCACTTGATTGTAATTATGCGTAGAGTTTTAAAAAACGCAGCAGGTTTATGCAGAAAATTTGCTGTATTTTTCAATCAATATGCAAATTGAAATGGTTTAATGTTCAGATAACGTTAATTAACAACAATCAGTAGCACCGAAACCCTTGGCTTGCAATCATTACTTTTGTTTTACCTTTTACATCTTTGCTTCTTAAGTCTTACTGCATCAAATATATCTGCAATTCACGGCTAGTCAGCGCGGGAATCAGCAACTTGTCCTTGATGGACAGTTCTTCAACAGAAACCAATACAATAAGGTCACCGCTAGGCCCACTTGGAGGTAAAGCAAAGGCTATGGAAAACATCTTCAACACAGAGGCGAAGCTGAGCTTCGCACCATTTGCGAAATAAAAACAAAGAGTTTTATGAATGCTATAAATAATCCAAGTTTTAAAAAAAAGACTCCTTTCTACGTTCATTACTCATAAAAATACTTCAAACTGAAAAAAAAAAGCCTCAAAAATCTTTTTTTAAAACAAAAATTGCTAAGAAAGCCAAAAATATCCTGTAACGAAACCATAATCACCATAAGAAGCTTCACAAAAAGCAATACGAATGCTAGAAAAGAGCTCTACCTTCAAAAAAAATAAATTCTACGCGGAAACTAGCCGACAAAAATAAGCAGACGGACAATAAGACAATTATCTAAATTGGCCAAAATTCAATTTGAAAGAAAAACAGTTTGCATTAAAAACAGGCCTCGGCAGGAATGGCAGTCCCGGGCTTTTTCGTCTCAAGAATGGCGATTACAAAATTTTGGAATAGAGATGAAGCATCGAACTACAGGAACTAAGACGACAAAAATAAACAGACGGAGGATAGTCCGAAAAAGCACAACAACTCCAGTTTGCAAAAAAAAGGGCCCAGCCGGATTCGATCCGCAACTCTTTGCTGTATCAAGCAGTTGTTTTACCTCTACTCCAGATGCGCCGGATATTTGATTGGATTTTAATTTGTAATTGCCAAGCGGTAACAAAGCCGAAAAAACCTGAGCAGAACCCTTCATGACAAAAAGAAAAACAGAAAAACTTCCCCTCAGAGCGCACTCAGGCACACAAAAACTTTTTTCGGACGTAACGACGCAATAAGCAGACACTAAGTCGATATTAATTAGGCCATTTATAAAGCTGATAAAAAACGGGAAAAAAAGTGGAAAAAGAAAGAAATTTTGTTAAGAAATTTGCATGGAGACCGCTGTAAAATATGCCTAAATATTTGCAATACTTCGCGTGCCTCAGATCGCGTGTTATTTATTGCTTTGCTGTTAGAATTTAAATTATTTCTGATCAAAGGCTTTTTCGGGAATAATTATCGCTCGGTACTAATAGTCACGCTCTACGAATCATCGCTTTTGTTAAATAAATAGTACTATTTGTGGATTTCGACGAATTTTCGCTTACGAAGAATTGTGGCCTTGCGCATTTTCTCAAAGTCCTACTAATGGATCAGTCATTTTGGAGAAATAAATTTAGTTTTAGTTTTTTCCGTTTTAATAACCCAGAAACAATTTGGTCACCCTAAAAAGGTCCACTTTTCTCGAAAATCGCTCCCTCGGTTTTCAATGCTTAACGGACTCAGTCATCGCTCATGCATTTTTTTCTGCATTGCACTAGATTCATGGCCACTTCTCCCTTCCAAATCGTGACAGTGATCTCAGGAGTACTTCTAATGCTCGAACGGGCCTATAACACCTTCATGCGCCTCTACAACTCTGCCAAGAAAAAGAAAAAAGAGGATCCCCCGCCCACTGATGAGACGGACAAGGTAAACAAGATCAGGGTGACCGAATGAGTCGTAAAATTGTACACAATGGCGAAGCGTAAATGAGTCGTACGATTAAACACAACGGAGATAAGTGAAATAGTCAAGAAAACTATTCTTCAAAATTTATTTGTTTGTTGAAAAACAAACAAAAATCCTTCAGTTTTTTCAGCAAGGAGGATTAAAAGCATTTGCAGTACAAAGCGCAAAAAACTCTACGAAATTTAAAAACATTGAAGCGTTGTAAAAACCAAGCGGGAGTCTAAGCTGACCAGATATAATAATAATACTTAAGATATAATAATAATACTATTACAAAACTTTCTCGCTCGCTTTAATTGCTCGATATTACATTAAAAAGCAAAACTTTTAAACCTATTTTCTCGACACTAAAAACTATTCGGATTTTTTAAAGTGCTGTCCAACTGAAAGAGCTTTAATATGAAATATCATTCGAACCATTTTGATGATTATTTGTACCTGATTTTGCGTGACAAATATTGAAAAGAAATGCCTTGACACAAAAAATGCGAAAGAAACAATGCTTTTAAAATTTTAGTTTCGATACTTCAAAGAACGGTCCTCTTCAACTATTAGTCAACCTTTACTACAAATTGGCAGAAATTTTTTCAGATTGTTACGACCATGTGAAAAATGGAAAAAATTTTGTATTCGGGTGTGTTTTAGTTTTTTTTTTCACGCAAAATCAGCTACCACAAATAATCATCGGAGAGAATTGAGTGATATATTATAGTAAAGCTCTTTTAAGTCGTGATTCGAACGACATTAAAAACTTCAAAAAAGTTTTCCCAGTGTCGCGAAAAATCGGTTTGAAATTTTCGTCTAAATTCGAGCGAGTATGCTTAATTTGGGACGTTTACAATAGCTGATTTATGTTAGTTTTTGGAGAATTTTAATGCCATTTTGTTTTTTACATTTTTTTAGTTATTTTTTTTTCAAAATTGGTTGCCCTGTTTTCCTATATTACTAGGACTGTCAAAAAAGCCTAAAATATAGTTTTAAATCAGATCTTTTTATCACACCTCGCATAAAAAACTACATTAATTTGAAAAAGAAAAAAAATTTTTTTCTTGTAGTTTTTTAAGACTAGGTCAGAAGATTCTGTGCTACTTGCACAGTAACCGGCTCTCCTCGTTACCTTTTAAATTCAGTGTTTTCTAGCTTGAATGACCTGTTGTGCCAAATACCGGTCGACATCAAAAATATATTTTAACGCGCTCTTTTTTAAGTACTAGCCAAATTGATTTGTCTGAAACTGATTATTATAATAAATGTAGAATGGAAAAAAAGTTAGGAGCGAAAATGGATCATTTTGCCACCCTGTGTACAAAAAGCCACATGGCGAATCTGAGACAGATAAGGAGATGACTAATGAATCAAAGGGCGGTGACGGAGGCTGTTCAAGTAAACCTGGAAGCCGCATGCAGACTCCACTGATTAAGGTTAGCACTTGAACTATCTGAAAATTACGCAATTAACGTCCACAAACTATCCGCCAGGAACTGATCTTACGCTCACATAAAACTAAGTGTATTTCAAGAATTGTTGAAGAGGTATAAATCCTGAGATTTAAATCCCGTTTAGAGCCTTGATCCCAACAGTTCATCTTTTTAGGAAACTTACAACCCCCAATTGTTCCTTTCCTTCTGCTTTAGGTGGACAAACCGGATCAGGACAATCTCGGATTTGAATCTGATAATTAATGGAAAATATCAGCTGTACCGTATGAGCAGAGACTATTATACGCAGCAATATTCAATATAACTGATATATAGTTGATTGAATTGACGACAGATGAAAGAATTTGAAAAAACATCTTCCTACGCAATATTATCATTTTGAACTATTAGATACGAAAATGCAGGCGTGGTTTTTTCTTATGACAAATTTCGACTCTCTAAGCAAAAAAAAGCTGAATTATTTGAACCATCTGAACATGAAGTTCAAAATTAAAATCCATATTTATACGATCAATTTGCATCGCAAAATCATTAACACAGAAGCTAAGCGATCGTCTACCGAACAACCGAATCGTCTTTCAAACAACATAAAATAAATTTACTAAGCCAATAAATCAAGCGAGTTGGTAAATTGACAACATAACAGGAGGCCTGTCAACTATAGTCAGACTTGTTGTTTAAAATTTCAATTTCTTGCATACAGAGTACAGGCAATTTTGCGTGTAAAGGCAACGGTGCGACCTCTAGTCTAGGTGAGAAGGAACCTGTATTTTGTTCAGATTCAAAAATGAAGCAAACTCAATTTCATGCAGATAGCAAGTAAAACAAAACAAACGGAAATTAAGAACACGGAAATTAAAACGAAACCCAAAAATCCGAAAAAAAGAGACTTTTTATAGGTAGTATGATTGAAGTTACATGCTGTTATATGACCTTTTATATCTGCACTTTGGATACATGTTTTTTTTTCAGATTTCTAAGAGAATTCTTTAACGGGAAAAAAGTCGAATCGTATGAGAACTACTTCGGTTGAATAAATATAAGGCCTAAAATCTCTATGAATACCAGGAATTTTCTATGATTGACTTTTTTCGAACCCTGTTGAGAAGAATGGTTGTGATCAATAGGAAAATTACATCAATTACGTTTTTTTGTGCCATTTGGAATGTGGTACTGAGTTGCGCAATTTGCCTTCCAATTGGAAATAATTACAAATAGAGTACATAGGTCAAATCGTGAAAAATAAATTTAAAAATGATTACAAACAGAGTTCATAGGTCAAACCGCGAAAAGTTTTTTCGGCTCAACTGGTGTCTGCTCAAAGATTGCCGGCCATGTTTCCGCTTCGTAAGTTTAGTTCAGTTCCTAAAATCAATTTCAAAATTCTTGCTTGGCGGCATGTTTGCCTAGAATTCCTGTTTGATAAAAACAGGTATCATGAAAGTGTATGGGATTGGATTTTTTAAATTTTTTGATACGCTTTGGAACACTCACTTTTTGCAAAAAAAAAAACTATTTTTGTTTTCTAGAAACCCCTTCAACCGATTTTCAAAAAAGTGTATCAATAGAGAGACCACCTACAGCCTTGTGCACCTGCATACTTCCCTGGTCTCTATTTCCTTTACCCCTTTGTCTACAGCCTTCGTAAAAGTCTGTGGGGGGAATATTTGACCGACATTTTTGATTTTTTAACGTTTTCTCAAAAACTTAGCTACCAAATCTGAGATTTTGGTTTCAATGGACAGCACAGATATAAAAATCTCCCTTCCATAAGCGGCTATGCCCAAACTTTTTGACACATATAATAATATACAATACTATGGCTCTGTGAATAGTCAAATTTTTGAGAGTTTTTGGAACTTTTTCAAACTTTTCTCGAAAACTAACCTCCCAAACCCGAGGTTGTGGGCTAAATGGAGATACCGGGTAGTATGAAGCTCCCCTGCATCGGCCCCCAATCGCATTTTTTTCGAACAAATTTGATTTTTTGAGCCTACAAAAATATAGCCCTCTGATAAAAGTCAAAGTCATTATTTTTGACCGTGTTTTGAAACTGCTTGACTTTTCTCGAGAATTTCCCTGCCAAGCCTGGATTTTTGGGTTCAATCGAAATAAAAGGTTGGGCAACTTTCTTCTCCATAGGCACTTAAGCCCAATTTTTGGAAACAAAAACGCTATCATTCTTGGAAATATCAACTTTCTGATTTGTTGACAGTTTTTTGGACATTTCTCAATAACTATCCTGTTAAATCTGATATCAGAGGTTTAACCAACCCAGCAAGTTGTTAGAAGCTTATTTTTATAATTCGCTACTTCCAGTTGCTTTCAGAAAAAAGTTATGGCCTTCAAACAATTGAACGTTTTAAGACGTTGATCGCTTTCTGGAAGTTATTTGACTCTAATCGAAAATTCTCAGGTTAAGTGTTTACTCGAGAAACCAAATTTTGAGAATCTTCTCTACTTTACCAGCCACGAGTTGCTTCTAGCAGAAAAAAGTAGCTGATTTTGGAAAATCAAGTTTTTGAACTTTGACTGTTTTTTAAAACTTTTTGAATTTTCCTAAAAACTACGCTATCAAATCTGAGATGAAAATTTCAATCGATCAAAGCGGTTGCCTGAATTCTTCCTGTTGAAGCACCTACTCCTGAATTTTTTTGTAAGAGAAAGGTTGTCTTTAAGAAACTACCAAAATCTCATAAATTTTCACTCTTCTCAACTTATTTTAGTTAAAAAAACATTAAAATTTGAGGCAAGTCCAATTTTTAAATTACGCATTTCGTGCCACATCAGAATAATTCGAAAAATCAACTACTTACTTCCAGATTTAGCTGAGTAGTAGAAACGTGAGCAGAAGTGGGGGAGGGGTCCCGGCGGTCCCCTCTATTTTAAGATTGGGAATAGATTTCCCAAGGTCTTAAGATAGAGAATAGGTTTCCCAATGTTTAAGATACCAAGTTCCAGATGGTAAGTCTCAGATGGTAAATGTTTTTCGGCGCCCGATTTCCCATGTATTAGGATAGTGTATAGATTTCCCTATGTATAAGGATTAGTAATTGAAATTCATTGTATTAAAACATGGAATGGATTTCCCAATGTATAAAGATAGGGATTGGTAAGGTTTCAGTGTGATAATAAAAGAATGGTAAGAAAAACGTTTTTTTTTTTGGATTTTATGTGCGAATGCCTAGTTTTTTTCACTAGTCATTAGTTTATTATGTGGTCACAGATTTTTCATGTATTAAGGTTATAGGTTTTAGTGTTTCAGATGGTAAGATGGTAAGTTTCGAGGAAAATTTTCAAAAAGAAACTAATTTTTGTAGCCAACACAATTTTGTAATCACTATCAACTTTCTCACATAATATAATTTAAAACTGTTTATTCCGGATTTTTGTCCGACGTTTACAACAATGTCCTAGTGAGAGAAAATTGGAACCAATTGAAGCATTCAAAATGATATACCTAAGCATATGGTAGAAATGGGAATATATAGGTGTACTTTTACGAAAAGTTTTAAGAACAAACCTGTTGGTTTTTTTCTGAAAAGCTTCGATGTTTTTTTTTCTCTAGAAGAAGTTTTCTATTTTTCAAGGCAATATAACTAGAAAAAAGCCAATAAATCCAATTATGAAAAAGCTTCCCAAAAAACACTCAGAAAATTGACTCAGAAAACAAAATCCAGGTATAACTTTGTATCAATTGACAATTTAAAAAAAAAACGGAAGCAAAATTCATTGAGCAAAAATTCTACAGTTCCGCCTAGTTTTCTCACTGAAAAAAGTGAAGCTAACAAGAGCAAAGCTACGAATTTCACAGTATATCTGATTTTTGATTCATGCTTCATCTATTATATTCCACATGAATTATTTTTGCTGGAATGCAACAAAAAATAAGTGAAAAAAATGTATCAATTAACCGAAGATTTTGTCTCGGGGTTGCTTACTTCGAAATAAACTATCATTGGAACTTCTGAATTTTCTTGTAATTTTAGTTAATTTATCAAAAAATAACAAAAACCCTTGCAAAGAACTATCAGAAAAAAACTGTGAACCAGATAACTGTATCTTCTTGTTTTAACCATATCTTTGAAATATGAAGTGCATTTCCAGTGCAGACTTACGCATAATATTATCTGGAAACATTCAATGTCCAACAAAAATATTCACATTTTCATCTTTTCTATGTCGGCTATCAAAAACAGTAAACCACCAATCAGCTGCTCAAAAACGCGCTACTCTATGAACTCAACCAAAGACACTAAACTAGGAAGCTTGTTAAACGTTAGCTAGGCAAAACAAATCAATTAACCAATGTTCTATAACTATCCAGTAAATTTTTCTGCAATTTTTGAACAAATAAGTTTCCATTTATTAGCTCATATTAAGTACATTTACAGCAAAATTAGAACAAGAAAACCCCCATTAGCAAGCCACCATTGCACTTCTCACTATCGATTAAAGTTTTTTGGATCGATTTTCAATGAGATTTTCACGATAATTTGAACCCGATTAGCACTCGAGTTGCTTTAATCGTCAATCAGAAACTTTAAACAAAAGCATAAATTAACGATTAAAATATGCATTGAAATGATTTCCTAGTATTTACTGAAATAATTCAACTTTATGAAAATTGTATAGATTTCGAAGCTACAATTTTTCAGAAAAACTATTAATTGTAGTAAGTTTTATGTTTACTGTTTTTTGAACATATATTTTTAAACTGACCTTCTCGAGGTGTGTTTTTGGAAGCTGCTGATCGTATTTCTCATCAACTTGAAATATCTTTTGACAAGAAGACTGTTTCTTTTTGACATGAATATTCAGTTCCTCGCTACTATAAGTGTGAAAATACAATTTTGACACTCCAAAACTCCACAGGATTAACAACATTTTGATGCAATTTGACGTGTTACACCTGACAAGGAAAAAAATTTTGTTTATGTTCGATAATTTGAAATTGATCAAAAAGTCGTATGATAATATGTCGAAGACTCTTTTGATCCCTAACCCGATTCCCACATTTGTCAAAACTCCCCAGCGAAGTTTTTTATTCCTCCAATTTTAAAAAGATTTTCAAGTTCGAAAACCTGCATGATCAAATTTCGAATAAGATATACAGATATTTGCTTTCAAAAAATCATCAAATTCGAGCTATCATCTCAAATTTGCATCAAAATCAAAGAACTTGACTATTTACTCAAAAATCAATAATTTCTCATTGATTATATATAAAAATTTCAATTGACTTGATGAGAAAATTTGCATAGGTGGTACTTGTTATAATAATTTTTGTGTTACTTATATCGGCGACATCTCTTACTTTTACAGCAAACAACCTGTGGTCACTTATTTTTGCAATTTCGTTTGTGTA